TTTTATTTCCGGAGCGCTTTTTCCGGTCAGCCGGTCTTGATATTGATAATTTGCTCTCTGAACTGTGATAACCACTTAATTGACTGTCCAGCGAGCGATTTTAATAGTGTTAATTAATTTAAAGTCTAGTGAATTAATGAAAGCGTTTTATTTGCAGCTAAACTGTCGCAGTTGTCGTTGACTAAAGCATCAACAACGGTGGTCGATGGTGCCAGTTTAGAGCGTGTCAGCAGTAGGGGTACCTGCTTGCAGGATGTGGATGTTGGTAAATGCACCGAAGCACACTTGCGCTACTTTTATGATCATCGCGCAGACGCATGTCGCCTGTTTTATTATAGCGGTTGTGGTGGGAACGAAAACAATTTTGCTAGCGAAACCGAATGCCGACAGCGGTGCAAAAGCGGTAAACAGAATTTTTGAAGCAGTAACATCTTCTGAGAGCAAAACATTGGGATAGTATCTAGCCACAAAAGCACAAGTTTTTTTCGGAAAGTAATAAGTAACATAAAAATAATAGATTGAAATAATCGGCCGAAAAATGACGTATTTGCTTAAAAAGTGTTGGGAATAAAGAAAAGGAGAACTATTTATATATTTTGACGCCTCTGATGCAATGCGAAAGTCCACTAATGCAAGTTGTAGTCTATACCTAATTCCAGTCTTTATATATATGTATATATATATACATACACTCATATATATATATACATATATATATATATGAGTGTATGTATGTATGTGTGCCCACATTGACCAATATGCAAAATTACAAAAGTTGGGAAGCTGAATTTCTTGAACACGTTTTATGGCGGTGTGGAAGACCTCGAAACTGAAAACATTTTTAACTTGCTCTGTTTTAATTTGTGAACTCTGGTACAAATGCGGACAAATCTGTAGCTCCAAAACCAAGAAGATGAAAGACTGGAGTTCGAGGAAAGACGCTTACAATTGGATAAAAACTTGAAATCGATTGTCTTACTACTCTTTGTGTCCGGGTGTTTGGCTTCAACCTGATATTGTGAAAAAAATTCGTAACCATTTACAAGGCCAAGTAACTAAACCGAACACGCATGTTTTTTTCTTTCTGACCCAGAACTTTAGATCTCAAATAATACTAAATTTGTAATCCAAGACGTTTATTATTATTCCGAAATGGTATCCCATAGTTTTGTTGTCGGACTGGGACCTAGATTAAAGCTAGACAGCATATCATCCGACAAAATAGATGAAATAACCAAACGAGTATTTGCTGCATTTGCGACTTCTGAACTCGCAGTTCACAAAAATATTAGGAGCGTGGTGTTATTACGTTTGTTTTTCTGTCCAGTCAAAGAACGACTATTTATTACTCTGAAGCTTACTAGTTTGCTCGACGATTTCTATTTTTCTGTGAGAGTAGAGCAAGAAGGTACTCACAGCCGCAGACACTGAAAATACTACATTTCAGTTAAATTCATTGAGCAGGATGTGCCACCTCCAGGCAACTGCCCTTATGGACAGCGTCCACTTGGTGATAATGCACCAGTTCTATGCGGCAACGAGACCGAATCGTTTGAATGCCCAGTCGGCTATTATTGTCGAATGGGGCCGCCGCACGTTTGCTGCCCACAGGATGTTCCCCCAGGC